TCAGCTCTGAAGGAGGGATGTAAGTAACAAAGGCAAAGGGAAAAGTTGGGTCTGTTGCTCAGAAAGTCCCACAATAATTTGTGGTATCCCAATCAAACAACAGTGAGGGAATTCCCCCACAATTCCTTCTCCAAACTCAAAGGAAAGACTTAGTCACGTCACAGACCTTGTGCTTACAATGGAAAATAACATAGGCAATGTTTCAGAGGACACAAAAATTTATTTAAAGAAGCATTGTGTCATCAGAAGAAACATTTCTAACAATTTCTACTTCTGTTTGCCAACTCTTCATCTTCAAATGGGGCAATCTCTTTTTCTTCCTTAATTGTTCTGAGCTAAATTTTTTCAAATTGTTAACCTAGCATGATCTTCCACCATCCTATAAATGTTAGAAACAAAAATCAGATGAATACTTACATTATAACATGATGGATGTGATGGAGCCTTTTTCCTTCGGACAAATCAAGTTTTTTCCTTACATCTTAAATCCATATAGGTGACTTCTGATTTTTTACAGATAGTCGGTAATGTGAAGATTAAATGGATTTAATGCACACTCTTCCTGGTTTCTAGTAGAAAAGCCAGTCTAAATATCTAAGCTTGAATATTTTTCCCCTAAGGGATTATTCACAGGTAAAGTCTGAGCCTTCTTTTAATTTTACTCCATCCTTAATCCTCTTACTGATTCCACACAGGCTCAAGGTATATGCCAGAGTTTTTTGGTCACTTTATAACCACCAAGCTTATTTGGAACTTTATTAATTGAAAATCACATCATTTACTGAGAGAAATAACACAATATTTCTAAAGCATTTTATATCCTTCATTCTAGAGAACTATTTCTGAAAATAAATTAATCATATCATTTCCGAAAAATGTAGAAGAAAATATTGAATAGGAAACCTTTTCACAGATGCCAAAAAATGTCTCAGCATAAAAATCATCTGTTGAAGGTTTCAGCAAAGTTTAAGATCATGATTATAACTTTTGTCACTCAAACCTAGTTTTAAGATCACAGATCAACCTGGCCACACCACAGTAGGATGAATGGCATCTCTTAGAGAATCTTACTGCCAGCATCTCTGTGTCTCTGACACAATGACCAAGTTGGATGGCTTTAGATTAGAAAGCAACTGCAGATTCAAGGATACTTTAGAAAGTTCATGGGAAATAAAATTAAAATATAAGTTTGGTGCCAGAGTTCTAGCATCATGTATGAATTTAGGATCACATCTTAGCTGCTCCACTTCCAATTCAGCTCCCTGCCTATGTGCCCAGGATAGCAGGACAAGATGATACAAGTGCTTGGGTCCCTGCCTCCGGGTGGGAAACATTGAGGACACTGGGATTCTAGCCTTATCTGTCAAAACCCTGGTCATTACGTTCATCTGGGAATGACCCAGAGGATGTACGATAGCTTTTTCTACCTCTCCCTTAGAGGTTCAGCCTTTTAAATTAGTAATTCTTAAGTCAAGAGAAAAATGTGTCATGAAAAACTATGCTTGTATTTCAAACATTTCTGCATTAAGATAAACTTATCTTTTAATTCCACTTTCCATGAACTGTTTCAAGTCCCTCATAATCCTTAGAAATAGTCCCCCCTGCTGCCATGCATCAGAACAATCTGTACAAGTTAAAAGGAAACCTAAGAATGTCCCCTAAGCATGGATGTGAGGGTAAGATAAAATGAAAAATGGTCAAAAAAGAACTGCTTTTTTTAAAAAAAAGATTTATTATATTTGTATTGCAAAGTCTGATATACAGAGAGTAGGAGAGACAGAGAGGAAGATCTCCCATCCAATGATTCACTCGCCAAGTGACTGCAACGGCCGGTGCTACACCAATCCAAAGCCAGGAGCCAGGAATCTCCTCCAGGTCTCCCACATAGATGCAGGGTCCCAAGGCTTTGGGCTGTCCTCAACTGCTTTCCCAGGCCACAAGCAGGGAGCTGGATGGGAAGTGGAACTGCCAGGATTAGAACTGGCATACAAATGGATCCCCATGCACTCAAGGTGAGGACTTTAGCCACTAGGCCACTGCGCTGGGCTCCAGTACTATTTGCTTTTAAAGGGCTGATATGTCAAATGTTAAACATGATTATTATAAAATTAATAAAATGAAAGCAGTTGTGATTTCATCTATAAAAATAATTTTGATGTATTAGAAAAATTAGTTGTTCAGAGAATATCTCCTAAAATTAATAAATCAATAAATTCTCTAATATATTACAAATTATTTAGTGTTTTAATTGTAAAAAAAATCAACATTTCCTCTCTTGAAATGCAAAAAACACAATGGTTAATTTTGCCAACTTGATGGGATTTAAGAATATCATGAAATCAAGAAGGTTATTATTCTGAGTAAAGTGTTTCTGAATGGGATTAGCATGAGGGTGAGACTGCACGAGATGGGGAATGCCAGCCCTCACTGTGTATGGGACCTGGATAACACAAATGCACAAAGTGAATACATCTTTTCCTTCAGATATGAGACATGCCTCAGACATCAGGACTCTGGGTCTGCTAGTTTTTGATGAGGACCCTCACGAAGGTTTTCAGCCTAGATCTGAGAGTTCTAAACTCCAGAAAGTAATTACATAAAAGATTATTATACAAACATCAAGTTTAATACAGCAAAACTGTCACTAAAACAGATGGGCAGTTATAATATGTGACACAGCAACAACAAAAAATGTATGAAAATGAATAAAAACCTGAAGTTTAAACCTAATACAGAAGGCACCACACTGGATATCTCTAAACAACAGGCAACCAAACATCTAGATAGCTTCTTCCTAATATGCATCTAACTCCAATATGTGGGTCATAATCGGAGATGGACTTCCTGATTCAGGAGCAATTATAAAAATTTATTAGATTTTTTTTTAAATTGGAGAATCTGAAATGGAATTTTCCCATGAACATTTTTCCATAGAGAACACAAATCATTTAGAGTCTTATCTTGTAAAATATCAGTAGAAAAATAATTCTTTTAAAAACTCAAGACCTATTAGAGGCTCCATATCAAAACATTATTCACTTAAAAAATGTATTGAACATATAATCTCATATAATCTCATTCAGAAATGACAGAAATCACTGAAGTTTTAGCTGAAGACATTTACTTCCTGTTTTATATGGATAGAATGTTTATTTGTTAAATATATTTTAATTGAAAGTTTAATTACTAATCTCCATTGAGGCTTCTTCAGCTCGAAAGTCAGAGGGAACAGCACCCATGCACCCATTTTTCATTACTCTAACTGCCTTTCAGTAAGAATTCCTGGCCTTGCACAATGAAAAGTGACCTAGAAGTGTAATTATAGCTTTGGCCCTCAATCCTTTCCCTCTTCAAGTGATAGATACTCAGACAGACACTCAGAGCCACACAGCCTAGCCCTGGTAGAAATTCAGGTAAATGTCTAATTTTTTATCCAAACATAAACTTAAAATCTCTGCAATAGATAAAACAAAACAGGACACAACAATTCAGTGAAATTCCTTTAGGTTGCATAAGACAAATTTAAATAGAGCTAAAACTGTTCAATCCAGAGTAGAATACTGAACACATCAGCTTTTAAAAGCACACGGCAACTTCTTTGGCAACAGGTTCTCCCAGTTGCTGTTCACTTGTCAATCTAATGTCAATATTGTGGTAGTTTTTTAAAAAACTCAACAAGGCCTGTGATTGCAATCTTAAATAAAAGACTTCAGGTTAAAACACAAAGCATTTCTAAGATTCACAATTTTAAACTAGCATTACAGACCAGCAAAATTTTCAGGCTGAGATTGCTGATTTATTGTTTAAGTTACCTATCTCAGTATCTTACTCAATGCAGGGAAACAGGAATAGAGACTATATGTTTCTGTGCTTATTTCCAGGAAACAAAACATGACTGACAAGTCAAAGCAGAGAAACAGGTGTGAGTTGTCCAAAGAAAAGTCTACCTTAAGAATTAAGGCATAATCTCCGAATGTGAGCAGCTCAATGGACACAAGGGACAATACACTGATCAAATATTCAGAAACCAAAGAAAACCCATTAACTTGTAAATTTAAAATACAACCAGAGACAGAGCCAGAAACAGAAGCTATGGTCTTTGAAAAGCGACCTTCACAAATCTGTGTTTGTTTCCATTTTCTTTCACAGTTTAAGCCTCAATCAAATCAAGCAGTCTCTAGGGATTTTGAAATTGTTATAGATTAAAATCCTGACTCAACTGTTTGACTAATGCCGAGTATTTAATAAGTCTACTTGTGAGAGACTTTTTGGAATGAAATCCTGATCTGTGCTATCTTCTGATGTTTCCCAGCTGAACAATAACGGAACGCATCACTGTCTTTATATTCTTGATCACTTGTTTTAGAGATGAGGAAATATATTATTACCAACAGACCCATTATTTAGCAGGCCTCTCTGAAAAAGCTTTTTCCAGTACTAAAATAGCAGCCATCACTTACAAAGGCTCTCCTACCAGGTACTAACAGTACATATTCATAGCTGAGTTCCAGGGATAGAAAATTAATAAATATAATAGATAGAACAGAGCTAAGTTAATGAATTTCTAAACTTCATGCTTTAAATAATAAAACCATTCAAGTCACAGCATTTGGACTCTTTGCTTCCACGGATCAGACACTTTGATACTCAACAGGTTGAGTAAATTGAATCCATACATTGTATTTACGTTCTCTGTCAAGGTTGCTTCTCCACATTTTAATGATCAAAGGCAAAGCAGTCATCAACTCTGTAGCCTTCAATATTGTGTTCATTATTACATCTAATCAAGTGCCAACTCCACCACATCATTTCCCTATCTTAAGAAGGTAAAATCAATGGCCGTGTTTAGCAACAAATAAATGCATATTACTGTATTAAATACACACACACACAACACAGATGAAGAAGACGAATACAGATTATTCTCTCTATCCATACAAGAAAAATAACTGAAGAACACCAATAACTAGTCAGTAAATATTTTGGAGATGGCTTTCTACCTGAGGCAGCATCAATCACTGTGGAAATTCCCCTTCGATCAGAAACTGGACGGGATGACCCTGGCATGCTGACTGGGTCAGAGCGGACGGGTTGGATCCTGCAATGCAATTTAATTCACATATGTTACTGGCATCACAACTGTCACATACTACTCCAGACCTTAAATCAGGCATATTAGAATAGCCCAATCCATTAAAAACCATTCATTTTAAAATAAACTGGGAGTTGAACTCCCTAAATACTACACACAGCCAAAGTACTACAAATATATATATTTTCCATCTTAGACCCTTCTTACTTACCTTTTAGTATTACTCAGGAGATTTTTTTAAGTAAGAGGATGAAAGGTAATGCTAATTTAGTGGAATAAAACAAGTGTAATGACAGTGTTATTTGAGGACATATTTGAGGCAGTCTAAGAATCTTCAAATTCATAAATGGTATCATAGCCAGTACTCAGTTCCATAAAAGGCAGCATCATATAAGATGAAATTTTGAAAATGTTCCCTACAAATTAATAATGAAAATTACTTTATATATGACAATAAGCACAGGATAGCAAAGCTGTGTTGTGGCTATAGGGGTATTAGACAGGATCATTACTAACTAATAGAATTACCTGCATAAAATTACCATCAGAAATAAGAAACAAACAGAACCTTCATAAAATGGAAAATTACTACCTGTAATTTCAAACTATACCATGATGACAAAAGTACAAATGGCAAGTCTCTAACTCCTTCATAATAAATACTATCAACCTTCAAGTATCTATGATTGGAAAGGATCTGTGCATCTCTGGATGTTGGTATCCAAATGGATCCTAGGATTAATCCCCCATGGGTGCTGAGGGATGATTGTAACAGGATATGGATATAGAAAGAAGAAAAGAAGTATCCTTTAAGCTCAGGACTAGAACACACTAGAATCTTGGATTTGTGGCTGAGGATGATAAATGCAGCATTTCTTGATGTGCATGAATTGTGTAAGGGGTAGAGTTCATCAATGGTATTTGTGGAGAATAAGAAGTTGATAAGTAATATTGAATATATCATAAAAACCTGAAATGCCAAGTAGAAACTGTAGACAGGGAGCAGCTACTAAAAGCACAGTTTGAATGGATATTTGTTTGCTATGGCAAAGAAAGAAATAGAAGAGAGCTACAAGATAAACAGTTGATGTAGTACTTGAAACTGAAAATACTGAAATACAAACGTATGACTGTTATGGAGTACTACCCAATATTCCAATCCTCATGCTTATGTTTCTAAACCAGTGATGAGACACCCATTGCATCTTGGCAGTAATGAATCCATTCTGGGATAAGCAAGCCTAAGCAAATTAAGGCCAGAAAGAAGATGGTTTATTTGAAATTTCAGGAAAATAAGGTTTTCTGTTCTTGAAAGAATTTAGACTATTTAGTATGATCAATTCATCCAAAGTAAAGCCCCATCTGATTCTTAACCTCTGTGGGTTAATAAATTTGCAATGTTAATCAGTGTATGCTGAGCCTGAATAATACCAGGCTATGGCTTGTGGATGGGTGAGACTGGGCACAAAGTAAGACTGGTTATAAACTGAGGTAATGAAGATAGGAAGCAGGTATATGCAGGTTTATCCTATTATTCTCTTAAGTTAACATGTATTTCAAGTTTTCCATAATTAACAAAATTTAGGATGACAAATGTTATAGTAATAAATAATGGGAATAGGTTTAAAAGATTGTGAATATACTAAAAACCATTGAAGTATATACATTAAAAATGGAAAATTCTATGTTAGATGAAGTTTATATCAATCAAAAAGGGATATAACTGCAAACAATTTCTGAGGGGTCTTCATGAGTTGAAATCATGTCTGATTCCTTTATGAAAAACACACTGCCTACCTCCCATTTTGTTCAGGACATTGATAGGCAGATTATCATGGTACTACATATTCTAAGTGGCATTTTATGAGGGAAAGGGCAAGGTACAAGGTGTTAAGGAACACCTGAAGGGGGAAAAAGCCTAGGCAAATACCTCACAATTTAAAAGAGAAAGGAAGGCACATGTCACTGGGTATAGACCTCAAGAGCAGCAGATGAAACAGAGGGTAGAGAATGGCATGGAGTGAAAGTAAGCACAAAAAGGAGGAAAGCATAAATAATCGAGTTTCCAGTAGGAATCTATGTAGGAAAAGATACTAAAAAGGTCACCTAAACTAAATGTGCATCAAATCTGAATTTCCCATTCAAACTGATCCATAACGGGGTTAAGGTTAGATTCCAACTAAGCTTATGTGCCCAAATTATAAAATCAACTTACAAATACAATCAAGAGAAATTTATTGATATGACTTCTACTATAGAATTTCCTAATATCTAGTAACTAGGACAACATTCTCATTAAAAATAAACAATTCATTTAGATAAAGAATGCTATGAGCTCTTTTGTATAACAAGAAGTCCCTGAGGAAAATTCTAGGAGGTTTTAGGAGTATAGCTAAAGAAAACATCAGAGATAAAGAGTAACTAAGTTGGGGAAGCAATAAGCAATATAAAAAGCAAGTTCAGTTCGGGCCAACTGACAAGAGATGTGGTTCCTCATATGCTGGTGGTGGGAAGGAGACAGAGTGGAAAGTTTCAAGATGTACTCAGGAATAAAAGCCATGTACCTTAATGAAGCATGAGATGTGTGGCTGAGAAAAAAGGAGACGTCAATATACAACTGGAATACATTTTCCATTGTTTTAATCTAAACATTCGATTTTATTTATTACACATTTATATATAGCAGGGGGCAGGGAGAAAGAGAGAATGAGAGAAAGGGAGAGGGAGAGAGTGACTCTTCCAGCTACTAGTTCACTCCTCAAATGACTGGAAAGAGTGCTGAAAGACCAAAGGGCTGGGCAAGACAGGAGCCAGGAGCTTCTTCTAGGTATCCTTTTATGTGTACAGGTGCCAAACACTTTAGCCATTTTTCACTGCTTTCCCTCCTTTAGTAGGGAGTTAGATTGGAAATGGAGCAGCTGAGACTTGAAAAGGTTCCCACATGGGATGCCAGCTTTGCAGGTGGCAGCTTCACCCACTATGCCACAGTGATGGCTCTAGGTATTTTTTTGTTTTTCAGTTTTTTTCTCAATTACTGTTAAAAAGAAATACAAGAAAAATTCATATGGTTGCTTTGCATTCAAATCAAGATGGGCAAATTTTTGAAAACAAGGTAAGCATGATTATATTGCATTAGATCCAGCTTTTCATTGTCACTGGAGTCTAGATGCAACAAACTAAAAGCAAACAGGAGATTGTAGAAGTCAAAATCTTCAAAATTCCATGAAACAAAGCTGATTAGTAAGGGCAGATGTTTGATGCAGCAGTTATACCTTGTAAGATTCCTGTATGCCATGTCATTGTAGCTGGGTTTGAATCCTGACTTTACTTCAATACCAGCTTTCTGTTAATCTACACTCTGAGAGGCAGAAGGTAATGGTTCATATCAAATGGTCCCTGCCACCCATCTGGGAAACACAGATTTGAATTGCTGGCTCCTGACTTTTTCCTGACCCAGCCCCAAATGTCACACGCAGCTAGGAAATAAAGACAGATGGGCGATCTCTATCTTTCTGTCCCTTTTTTCCTTAGTTTCTCTAACTTTCATACACATTAAAAAAATTCTAAAACTAAAAAATATGGATGATAAATGAATTTACAGCAATTTTTTATCCAAAAAAGGGAGTTGCAGGACTTGATGAAATGCAAAAATTAAATTTAATCGAAAGATGATGTCAACTTCAGAAATACCAGGAAAAAAGGACTTGATCAGGCTTCAAGCAGTTAGAAATGAGTAAGGCATAATAAATTAGGATGATATAAACAGAACATTGAATATTAGATTTAGATAAAACATAAGATGAAATACAAATCTTTGCTGTAGGGAATGAGATTCCATTTTATATTCCCCAAGTAATGACAGAGAATCACACATAAAAGTACATGTAGTATGTAACATGGTACTCAGGCAAAAAAGGAAACATAACTATTACATGAGATTCTCACCTCTTATCATTCAAATCACTTCCTAGTTTTTATTTCTCACCTCAGGCTGTTGAGATCTAGATCATCAGTATCAAAATCCAAAAGGGGCTGTGGAGTGTCACTCGGGCCATGAGACTGCAACACCGATGAACTAGATGATATGACTGTGGTTTGACCTGAAGGGTGTATGGTTTTGAACTGGAACTGTGGCCCCATCCACAGACGTCTATGGGGTCCAGTGTGTGTAACGATTTCAACCTGGAACAGAGTAGGAATCATGGTTAAATGTATTACGACCTTCCCTGGCAACCTTTCACAATCCCCTCTCTTCCTTCTCTCAACACTCTTCTTCAAGGGACCCACTTAAATCAAAGGGTCAGAGCACTCACTTTAAGAAAGGGATGATATTCATACAAGGTATGCAATAATATCTCTCTACTGATTTTTACCAACATTAAAAAGGATAGTATTTACCTACACATGAAAAGGTTCATACACAATATAAAAACCTCAAGAAAGCAAAGGGACAAGTTGCTTCCCTTATACGACCAGCAGTAGTTCCACAGGTCCTACCTTTCTACTCATTCTAGATAGTGCTTACCATGTTATGAGCATGCATTCAATATTACACTTATTATTCCACAGATTAAAAGTAATTCTTTCATAGGGGATCAAGTTCAATACAAACGTGAAGTTGTTCTTGAACCAGACAAGGAAAAAAAAAAGTCTGAAATAATTTTTAACACCAAACACCAGCTTCTTTTTTAAAACTGAATATTGGGATAGCTACTGAACTGCTCTAAATATTTCAAATATCCATGGAATAAAAGGAGAAAATAGTATGTATTTTTCCTCAAACTGGAATTTTTGCTCTCAAACTATTGATTCTTAGAAATCACTTCTCTACTGCCCATGGATACTGACACAGCATTTTGTGTGCAGCAAAAGAATAACATCAAAATTCTTTCTTAATTTCATGCCTTATGGAAGGGACAAGAAATGTTGCCAAACTTATATTAGATGCTGCAAAAATGAAGCAGCAAGTACATGACAATGGGCAAAACTTGCATGTACTCATATTTCATGCTTTAACAAATGACCAACTTGCATAATACACAAATATGCACATATTTGGTGCAAGTCTACTGTATTTCAATGTTTTCCCCATGTTACATCCATGACTGTGCAAATGCTTCATGGAGTTAACATCCTGTGTGCCTTGAGTTTTGCCCTGAATCCTTCTATATTTAACTACATTTCTCTAATTGCAGAGATTAATTCTTAACAAAACATAACTGAAAAGGTGCACAGAGTACAGCTCTATGTGAGTATGAAAGGAAAAATACAAAATAGTTTGGAACAATATTCATAATCCCACTAATCATGGGGAGAAAAAATACTTAGGTTGAGGACAGTGAATTTCGATTCACGTAGTTGTATTCAGCAATGCAAATTAGGCCACAGATAATGCATTCTGTACATTTTAAGCTCAAGATCATCAGTGTCACAGGGCCGAGAGGTAAACAGATGCCTCTGCAATTTCACTGAGGCAATGGCCAGATGTTCCAGTTCACTCTCCTGTTGAGTGCAGGACAAACATATTGTACATACTTTCACACTGACAGCACATATTACCCCTTTTTTCTAACTGAAAAGATAAAGTGAAGGGCAGTGGTTTATTTGCCAGCATTCTCAGAAATTTTCATTTTGGGAAAAAAAAAACCCACAGGCATTTTGGATTTACTTTGAGTTGTTATCAGGAAAATAAAATTTCCCTATGCTAGGAACTGGTGTATAGACTGCCCATAGTCTCCTGTAGGTATTCTGGGGTGTGATTTAATGAATTCATGGCCTAGAAACTGATTCTCCAGTTTTCAGATTCACTTTAGTTTTTTAGGCTAACCTTCCCTGAGAAAGTAATGGAATGACAAATGATCCCTACTTTTTCTGAGGCATCTATCTCATGAAAAGCCACCAGACTAGTAATCAGAGACAGGTCATTAACTTCACCAAATGATGTCAGACTAAAAGCAGACATAACAGCATCTGTAATGAAGCCACTTGCAATCTCACCATTTTGAAATCTGCCCAAGTATCTTTTATTTCAAAGCCCTGGAGATGAAGACAGTTTTACCTGGCAAGGGGAGGAATGGTCAGTTAAAGATGTTACAGGACTGGTTCAGAGATTACCAAACTTCAGAGGAGTTTAAGAAACCCACTCATGCATCATTAGAGCCTAGGCAGATACCATCCAACTTCCATAATTAGCATGAACAAGGTTGGCTTCACAAACAAATCCCAAAGACTTGTGAAAAACTATACTATATCTGTCAAAGAAGAAAAACAGATTTCTATTTTGACATTAATTTCCAAATATTTCAGAATTTTACCTGTGAAAGCCATTCCTCATCTTCTTGTCCACTATGGTCAGAGGCTAAACTGTCATAGGACCCATGTCGAGTAATGGGTCCAGGACTTCCAGGGGGCACCACTATAGAACAAAGAAAATGGATTTAAGCCATTGTACCCATGCAGCAGAAAACAGAGGTGGGCACAAGCAGTACAGATTATGTACTAACATACACAATATGACCTTAAAGCACTAAGGCAGTTCAAACAATTAAAGAATAAATAATTCCAAAAAAATTTTTTTTTAAATCTGTAATTCAGAGTATTTTCTTTATAGGAATTTAGTAATGACATATTTCATATAAAAGAAAAAACTGCTGATGTTAATGGCAAAGTATAATAAAGAGTAGTAAGTGTCAAATCTGCTCATTGAAAGATTACATTAAAGCTATTTAAAGAGTCCATTTAACAGCATCAAATACATCATATGCACAAAATACACACTTCAATGAAAAGTACTTTCAGTTCCTCAAAAAATTCACTTATCCAAAAAAACTAGTCATAATCCTAAACACTTAGTTGTTTCTCATTTACAGTCTATTTTTATACAAAAATGATCCTCTGCTTAGTTGAAAACAAGAAAATGATTTGTAAAATATTTATTAAGTTCCAACCATGAGCCATATATTATCCCACTCAAAACCTGAACCATGAGATGGTCATTTAGCATAATGGTTTTAGCCATTAAGACACATCTCAAGATGGCTGCTTCCTGTTACACAGTCCCTGGTTCAAGTACAAGCTCCACTTCCAGCCACACTAACACGCACATGGAGGTAGCAGGTGATTCCTTGAGTATGTATGTCCCTGCCACTTAGGTGGAAGACCCAGAACGCATTCTGGGTGATTTTGGTTTGGCTCAGTCCTGATTGCTGTAGACATCTGGCAGAAGGAATCATAGAAGAAGATCTTGCTTTGTCTTTTATCTTTCTGCCTTTGCAATAAAAAGTTCTGCCATTTCAAGGGAAAATGCAGAGCTCTCTTACAAATAGACCTTTTAAAAAATTAGTTTTAGGTATACAGAAATCAAGATACAAGGATCTCAAATACATCCACTAGCCTCATGTACCATTTTTAAACTCAGAGGAACCAGGCAATGACGTATGGGGATAAAAGAAGTACAAAAAGAGGAAAGAAGATAAAAATTAACAAGCCATTGGATAATAGAAAACAGTGACAAACATAAAACAGCCTTCTAACTTCCACCTCCCAGAGATGTCTGTACATGTATCAGTATCAAAAAATCTACTAAGACTAGATCCCTAAAAAATGAAAGTGAAGGATGTGAACATGTGGAATTTCATAATACCCATTCCGAGAGAGAGCTCTACACTTCTATGGGCCAAAACACAAAAGCCATTTCAAGGGAAAATGGCTTAATTACATACTATAAGAGAGGTTCATATGTTTTTTAAAAAGATATACTATAAAACAATTTTCTAATTAAAAATACTTTGAATCCACCAGAAGATAGGAAATAGAAGTAAAAAAGTCTCATGGGACATGAAAACATGAAAGAAGGAGCATTTTCTTCTCCCTTATATTTATGATACTTTACACTATACCACAACTCAGAAATGGAAAACATTCCACATTCACTCACTTTAATAAAAAGCATAATTTATCACGGAGAAAAATTATTGAAATAAAGTATGATACAGGTTGTTGCCTGCACAGCCAGGTCTGTGACCAAGTCACCATGCACCCCATGTCTTAAGCAAGAAAAATTTTTTTCTGATGTGTGCTAGAATCACATAGACATTCCAAAGGAGGTACTGAATGAGGAGTAGACCCACGCAAGAATCATACAGAGATGGATAAAAAGCAATGACTCATTATCTGGTAGAATACTGAGGCATCTCAGTGGCAGCAACAAGGATAAAACATCCCCAGACTCTAGTTCACACTTTGTAAGCCCTACAAAATTTAGATGTAGTCTCAGAGCTTAATATTTTTACAGTTATTAAACTGTAGAAGTAAATAAGGATTACTTGGGAGAAATTATATGAATGCTATAAATATTTCAAATTCAAATTGAATATAGCAAGATACATAACAGTTCTCTAAAATAATTTTAGACATTTCAAACTGTTACAAGGATGTTGAATTCAGAAATGGACAGTTTACCATGTTCTGTTTCTATGTTTGATACAGTAATTTTGAATATGCCTTACATACCTAACCAAAAGGATATATCATTTACTAGACATAATACAACTTCAGAGCATTGCCTGGCATCTGATACACACTGGTATCTGATAAAAAGAAAAAAAGATCAATAAGCAAACGCAGGATGCGTACAGCATTATGAGGTACTGTGACCTAGACTGTTTATACTGTGCTCTCAGGAAGCAAACTATGCTTATTTTGAGTAAACTAGATCTTTAAAAAAAAAACCATAGGTACATTTGCTTTTTTTACAGTGATAACAAATGTATATTATATATTTACATATTTTTGTATCTGTTTAAGTATAAACAGAAACAAACTACACCAGGGAAAAACTTTACAGAGTATATGAATTGTGTAGAGTTGGTCTTTTTACTTTACATGTGTTAACAATTTATATGAATTAATCCGAGTTCCAAGCATGTAGAAAAAAACAAGTGAGACTATGAACAGAAAGATTAAATGGCCACTTAACAATGGCCTTAACTTGCAAATACACACACAAAACTGACCATTCCAAAGTCAACTCATAATACAAGTTTTCAGTTCTTTAGATAGATTTTAAAAAATTCTTTTTCAAAATTTAGATATTTTCTACAACATAAGGAACAATGGGTATGTAATATTTTCTAATTAGTCATGGAAAATGAGTTTTATGAGTTTTTGAAACACAGGTGCAATGTATCAGATTATACACACACACAGATAAGCTATACTAGAGCAATAAACATTATATTTAAAAGACATCTTGTTAGATCTTCAGGTTTCTTCAAAAATTTACTTCTTTAACACTGGTTATATGGTAGGTTAGAAAGTGTAGGCTTTGATTCCTAGAATGAGTTATTATAAGTCTTACAGAAATTTAAGTTTCATGACATTTCAGTATAACTTCAATCTCATGGAACCAAATTTTTTCTAAAAAATCCTCAAAAGAAAAAGAGAAGATCTGAATAACTTATGTTCATCAGTAACAAATTGAGTCTTCTACTTAGAAGACGGAAGATATATTTTTATCATTAATATTTTGAATATAATTTATACAAGGGTAGGCAATTATTTTTCTTAATGCATTAGGCATGAATATTCAGAAAAAAATATTAGATTTACTACAACTGAAGTTTATAGCATTTCAGTGCTGACTTAAGATGGAAGATTAAAAATTATTACTATCTAATGCTATTTAACTTAAAAATAAAGGAAAAGAATTGCTAACGCATTTAAAATTAAAAGACCAACTACACTAGTGATAATTACACTCATTATAGAAACTAACACAAAGCCTAATACTAACATGGAACAGTGCTTGTTTATGAAACCAATGAAGGGAAAAATCTATGCAGTTCTGCTCTGCGTCTGTTCTGTTCTTCCCCTATATTTCACGAACTTCCAGTAACAAATTTTCTTAGCTGTAGCTCTGGATGTTTTAGAGAATACAGTTGATTACAGTGTGATTATAGAATACAGTAATTAATCACAAGTTCCGCTATTGGAAAACCTAGACTTTCAACTCTATCTGATGTGAAATAGTTGTTCTACTCCTTGATAGTTAAGAGTACAAGCACTACACTAAATGGTAAATAGTTTTCTATGTAAGATAATCATTTAGTATTATGCATTGAAGATCATCTGGAAACAAAAAACATGCTGAATATTTATATCTAGGAAGAAATTCAAACCTTATAATACATAAAGGAAGATTAAATTCATTAACAAGAAACAGATGTTTAGTTGAGATACCCCTGTCCTACATTAGACTGCTTGAGAGCAAATCCCAGCTCTGTTCTTTATTCCATGGACTGCTAATATGCACTCTAGGAGGCAGCAGGTGATGGCTCAAGTACATGGGTCCCTGGCACCTATGAGGAAGTGCCAGATTCAGTTTTTGGCTTCCAGGTTGTTCCCAGATGTGAGATAACCATATATCTCAAAAAAAAAAAAATACACTTTAAGTTGAAAAAAAATCTCTGAAAGGAAGGAAGAAAGAAAGGAAAGGAGGCACAGAAGATGCAAGTAGGAGGGAGGAGAGGAAAGAAAAATTGATCCAGAATTTTTAGTAAATGGACTCAAAGTCTCTAACTGGGAGAGTGTGAGCTGGACTGCAATGACCACTGAGTTTTATGTGGCCAGTGGAAAGAAAAGAATTCTTGAGATACAGGAGCACATGTTTTTCTACTACTTTGGGCCACATCCCCATTTCTTCCCCTGCAAACAATAAAAACCCTTTCCATGCTAAACTCTTCTGTGAAGACCTCAGAGGTGAAAAATGTTGTGCCAGAAATATCCAGTTTTTCTAGGTTATTTAGGGGAACAACATTCCTTTTTCTAGCAACAGAGAATTTTGTGAGTTAAATGACGTCATGCTGACTTGAATGAAACAGCTCAGGCTCAAAGTTCACCCAAAGGCCAACAGTGATAAACTTCTATCCAAGGACAAACTTCAATATATTTTGGAACTTATTAAAAACAGCATTTACACAGCAGCCATACTACAGGAGAGGGCCCTTTACAGGACTCTGTTTCTGATCAGAAAGCACTCACAATCTCAGGGTGAAATTTGGCTGGGGAATGTGGTTTTCTACTGCAACAATGAGAATTTGTCTTTTAAAAAGAAATGTGCCAAACACAACTATCCAAAAACAAAATGGCCAAACATATAAGGCCAAATACAAGAACTAACCAACACACAAATAGTACTAATAGGTTTATAAAAGTTATTTCATATTCATCAAAATACAGCAAGACTTAAAGCAACGCCCCCTCCACTGACCTAGAACTCAAAAAGTGTTTTCAGGCCAAAAATAAGATACCTAAATTTTTGGAGAAATATTGATAGTACAACTATCTGATTTGCAAATGCTGTAATTCAAATATAAAATAATTGACTGAATCTCATACACATAGAGTAGTTATGTA